ATTGTGCTTGTGACTGCGATTTCGTCACAGTCTGACGCCCTGATAAATAACATGCTTCTTCGCAAATGCTCTTTTCATCTATATGGTTTCCTGTCATGGTTATATGTTTACATGTCTTCAATCCCCGCCCCTTGCTCTTACTATAGCTGAACTTTTTCGGTTCGCCTGCCTCCAATCCACAACGCAGGGCTGGACAAAATGATGCAAGATGCCTCTGAGCCAGGTCAACCTCGGAGACCAGCGTCGAGTGCAGCCGAGTTGTATATTCCGGTGAGTGCTGCTCATAAATAATGGAAGGAAAAAGCTCTGGCTGAAAATAACCGGCGCAGAAACTCTGCATTAATTGATGTTTGCTAAAAAATGACTGCAGAATGCAACGTATGTAAAGGCTGCCTGGGGCACAGTTTATTAATAAGCTGGACCCCCCTCTACAAGATAAACTGAGCCGCACCGAGTGAGACAGCTATATAAAAAGATATGAGCGCGCAATCAGAAAACCTGTGCGCGGCACAAATGTAAAGCACCGACTCAGACATGAAACAAAGCCAGTGTTCTCGACTGAGGAAATATTCAGTCCTGTCTCATTCTTTTCTATCAACACACCAAGCCCATATTGTCACATATTTCTGGCCTTGTAAAAAAGCAAAAACCCAATACAGGTAGCATCATGCTAAAGGCAGACTGCCTGCAAGATAATGCTGATGGAAAAAAGAGACTTGAGCAATATGTTTATTTTGGAAAGAAGCTTCTATGACAAAACTAATACATACTATGTTAACATTAAATTGTATGTGTGGTTGCTTGGTTGGTTTTGTTTGTTGTTCTTTCCAAAAGATAAAAAAAAACACGCAACGAGCCATCAACACATACTCTGAAGAAATGATACGGTTTTCTGCTGACCGTTAAAGTTTAGAAAGATGAATCTGACTACAATAGGCTGAGATTTTTACACCTGTAATACTTTTTCCTACAGAAATCGTTTTCACAGCAGGGACTGCTTACTACATACTAAAACAATATTTATTTTTTGTAACATGTATTTTAAAACAAACAAATCTCTTTGGTGAATGTGTATCTTTACGTACACATTAACATAACATTCAGTCAGAAAGCGAAGTGGATTAAAATAACTGATTCATGAGATTAATGTTTGTGAATCATATAACCCTGAGAGTAACGGATCAGAGCGTTCACTCTGCACGCGATTGCGGTCCGGCAGTGCGCTCCAGGAGCGGTGCGCGTCTGCAGCAGTCATGTTGCGATCATTTTCGCACGGAGTCTATAGACCCGGGTATACTTCACTCTCCGCGTTCCGTTCCGTCTCGCGTACAGCCGCGTCCGCACAGCTTTCAAAGTATACTCAACCGCGGATGAGCTCGACACAGGCGCAAGTCTATTTCTGCTGTGCTGTCTGCGCTGAATTAAAGTGACCGCTTATTATTCGCGGTAAAAATTTACATGGATTGACACTTTAAAATAAAATTACTGTGCTGGAAACACTGTAATCATCACAGTGGCAACTGAACCATAATCTAAGCAACCACAGGGTCAAGAGAAATGATGGAGCAAATCAAAGACATTGAGTTTGAACTGGGAGAACGAGACACTCACTCACTGTTTTCTGCTTTTTGATCACTCCCAGACTCGAAGTAATGAGCTTGGCTTGAGAAAGTCTGTATGTCTGAAAGCCGACCACCAGGGGGTCTCGAAGCACACACATAAACTTAAACGTGCGTACACATGCGCGCACACACACACACACACACACACACACACACACACACACACACACACACACACACTTTCACTCACCCGCTCTCCAGACCGTGGCCTCTTCTTGGGTCGTGTGGGCAGCGTGTCCTCCTTTGGATTTGTGTCGATTGCCCAGTACGAACCCTACAAACAGGATGAGGATGAAATATTAGTCCCAAAGCAAGTCATCATACTCTAAAATAGCGGTCAACTTAAAGCCATTCAATAAAACTTTGATGAAAAGCAAAGCACGATAATCAGCAGGGTTTCCAAGAGAGAAACTTCTGCAATCAGATACTGGGCGCATTCTCCGTCAAACACATACAACTTTTAGTTCATCAAAGTTTCAGCAGGCTCATCTGTAAGCCCATCACGTCGGGAGAACGTATATGTTGAGGTGCGAAGAAGTTGGGTCTTTTGCTACAGCCGTTTCTTGCGCTCGCTCTCTCGCTTCGCATTTCTCCTGAGCCTTGGCAGAGGCAGGTAAAATGTTAAGCCCCTCCTGAAGCCCCTCTTCCTCAGCCGCAGGTTTATCGATTGCTCCTGTTCAGGGCTGGACACAGTGGTGTTGGATTTCTGGTCAGGTCTGATAATCAGGCAGAAAATAGCACACCTTGGATTGGGGCTGCTGGTATCTAAGCACCCAAGACCCTGGCTGAATAATTTATCTTTGCATTCTTCCGGTTTAATTTATTTTTCAATAGTGCTGCTCTTCCCAGAAGCTAAAGGCAACCCTGGCCACGAAGTTAGGCAAAAAGAAAAAGAAATTAACCTCTAGGCTTGGGTTTTATTTTAAAATATTTCATATTATATGGGATAAGATCTCAATTGTCCAGAGAGGGTGCGATCAAGACCTTCAAAATTACTTGTGCACAGCTCATGTGTGCACCTAAGCAAGGAGAATAATTGAAAATCACCAAAGGATTTGTCTAGACAGCATGCTTCAGGTTCCTCAAACGTTCAGCCTCCAAAGACATATTGATAAAATGATGTAAATTTCTGCATTTAAACAGCAATACGGCACAGGTTATAAGCTACGGAATGGCAATGAGTAGGGTTGGGCATCGTTAGAAATTTTCCGGTTTCGATTACGGTTCCAGTTTTGCCTAATGATTCCAGTTCCGATTCTGGTTCCATTTAAATGAACTATTATTATTATTTTTTTACTATTTTATTTTTATTGAATGTAGTGTTGCTGGAAGGTAGTAAGTAATGTTGAGTAATGCTAGTTGAGTAATGCAAAGTTGATGTTTTTCACTCTTGAAATGACCTGTACACTAAATAATCTAACCCTCATACTTGCATAACAATAGCAGACTATTTATTTAGTGGTTTAAGTTGAAATCAGTATGTATATTAATGACAATATGGGACAAATATAATGTAATTTAGTGGCGGCAGGAGCTGCGCGCTGCCGGTACGTGTACAGTGAGACAAAACAATGTGCACAGTTATCAAAGACGCGAGTGCGCATACACTCCTGGAAAACTATGTGTTCAGCAGTTAAAGATGCGGCCTGGCATGTCTGTGGAGTGCGCGTCATGGGAAGCAATGTGCTCAGTAATTAAAGAGGCAGGGCGGCGTTTCTGTTATTTAGTTTGTGACATCCTTTACGGGAAACGCAGTTGCAAGGCTGCTCACAGCGCTTGGTCACGTGTCGCACCAAAACCGTTTTCGGAATCGAAACTTAGAAATAGCTCACGGTTCTGGTTCTTTTCAAAAAACAGAACCGGTTCTTGGTTCCCAACCATAGCCCATGTGCCCGAACGGTTTTTCGAAGCCTCCCTACCTTAAGAAAAGTTTTCATTATCCCTGTTTTAATACACGGCTGTTGCAGCCATTTGTTAGGTAAGTGTGATGACCGCTCCAAAACAATCTGACCAATCACAACGCTCACAGCATGATCACACCTTGCTTTAACATGCCATTTTTTGGCCTTGAAAGCAGTGTACTAAAACCAGCCTAATGAGAGGATGTGACACAATTAACATTAATTAAATGGTAAACCAGGCATTCAAATTTCACTTTTTAACAGTCAACCAAAGTCAGACATTATAGTCATTATTTATTCTTCAATTTTAATATGAGCCTCATCTAATTTTACATTCTTAAAAGGTACATACATACACACACACACACATTTTCCACTCCGAACAAAATGGAAATGGTCGACCAAAGAAGTTGAGTGCACGTGCTTAGCATCATATCCAGAGGTTGTGTTTGGGAAATAGATGTATTAGTGCTGCCAGCATTGCTGCAGAGGTTGAAGGGGTGGGGGGTCAGCCTGTCAGTGCTCAGACCATACGCCGCACACTGCATCAAATTGTTCTGCATGGCTGTCGTCCCAGAAGGAAGCCTCTTCTAAAGATGATGCACAAGAAAGCCCGCAAACGGTTTGCTGAAGACAAGCAGACAAGCAGACTAAGGACATGGATTACTGGAACCATGTCCTGTGGTCTGATGAGACCAAGATACACGTATTTGGTTCAGATGGTGTGAAGTGTGTGTGGCGGCAACCAGGTGAGGAGTTCAAAGACAAGTGTGTCTTGCCTACAGTCAAGCATGGTGGTGGGAGTGTCATGGTCTGGGGCTGCATGAGTGCTGCTGGCACTGGGGAGCTACAGTTCATTGAGGGAACCATGAATGCCAACATGTACTGTGACATACTGAAGCAGAGCATGATCCCCTCCCTTCGGAGACTGGGCCGCAGGGCAGTATTCCAACATGATAACGACCCCAAACACACCTCCAAGACGACCACTGCCTTGCTAAAGAAGCTGAGGGTAAAGGTGATGGATTGGCCAAGCATGGGCATCCTCAAACTGAAGGTGGAGGAGCGCAAGGTCTCTAACATCCACCAGCTCCGTGGTGTCGTCATGGAGGAGTGGAAGAGGACTCCAGTGGCAACCTGTGAAGCTCTGGTGAACTCCATGCCCAAGAGAGTTAAGGGCAGTGCTGGAAAATAATGGTGGGCGCACAAAATATTGACACTTTGGGCCCACTTTGGACATTTTCACTTAGGGGTGTACTCACTTTTGTGGCCAGCGGTTTAGACATTAATGGCTGTGTGTTGAGTTATTTTGAGGGGACAGCAAATTTACACTGTTATACAAGCTGTACACTCACTACTTTACATTGTAGCAAAGTGTAATTTCTTCAGTGTTGTCACATGAAAAGATATAATAAAATATTAACAAAAATGTGAGGGGTGTACTCACTTCTGTGAGATACTGTATATATATACACATACATGCATGCATACACACACACACACACACACACACACACACACACACACACACACACACACAATAAATAAAAATTACATTAAAAAGCTACAGCATTGCCCACAATGACATGCAGCACTCAAGTCAAGCACTGTAACGTGATACTTAAAATTAGAACAGTTTTAACTTGCCACTGATTACGCGGGAATACACATGATGTATCATTAGAGAGTGACGTGTGTAGCAAAAACGTCAAAAGCATATCCTGACATTCAGAGAATAAATCATCATACTGTACATATTATCTATTCTATGCAAATTAATAAACAGACCATGGCACTTGAGTTGAGAGGTGCGCTGATGTGAAAGGGTCTTCAGTTTCTTTATAAATTCTAATGTAGCATGAGTAGCTTAAAAATGTTAAATGCTAAAGGTAGTGAGTGCTCCCACACAATAAACAGACTAGATAAGTACAGCTACTCTCAAATAGTTTAACAAATGGTGAAACATGATCTTCACCTTGCATCACCATTTACGCATTATATTCCAGCATTAGACCATCAGAGTGCATAACATGCACAACAATTTCCCTGTAACAAACATCCTAGTGTTCTTTATTTCAATTTAAATAACCATGTTCCTGTAATTGATGCAGTGACGATGAAGGACAGCTGAAGGTGACTGAGAACGCTGGCAGTCTGTTACACCTAGCAGATGTAATTTAAAAGAAAACTACTGCAAGACACTTTCACTGTGGAAGGGGAGGCCGAGTAGCGTTCCTTTTAATTAGCTGAAAAATCTTGAAAAACCGAAAGCCCTTGGGAGGGAAGTATCTGTAGGCTGCATCACAATACCTGGAGAGAAAGCAATGTTTAAAGAAATCCATGAAAGGAGAGTTTACATGAATCTGAAATATAGGGCAATACAATAAGATTGTGTCGAGGTTACTGGTTTAGATAAACTCAGCTGAACCCCAAAATTAAAAGCCATAAAAGAAATACACTAAAGAACATCAATACACCTCCCTTAACAATGACCATCGCAAATCAAGTATTAAATTTTTCTAAATGAAGTAGTACATTTATAACATTTAATAGCACTTTACATGTATTCACTTAGCAGACGTTTTATAGTATTACATACTATTGTACAAGGGTTTAGGGCTGGCAAGATTTGTATTAAACTGATCAATAGTGACAGTAAAGACTGAAGGATCATGTGACAATGAAGTCTGGAAAAATGTCTATATTATTATATATTTTAACACATTAAAATAGAAGAGAGTTCATTTAAATTGTAACATTTCACAAGATTACTGTTCTTAATTTTTAAGCAAATAAATGCAGCCTTTGTGAACATAAGAAACTTCTTTCAAATATATAAATATGCATGTGCTGGGTTTTGCAGTGGCTTAATGGTAAACGCCTTCTAATTGAAATTTCCATTCTAATGGAAACAAATCAGTAAGACAACGCAGGCTTGACCTCTCCGACCAGAAGTCTAACTCAAGGGCATATGCGTTTGTATCTGCCCCAAAGTTCGGCCTTGCTCATTCTCAGCAGCTGCTGCGGATCACAAAGGTGAAGTGAACAATCGTTTTTGCCATCTCTGAGAAGCACGCCTCAGTTACTATCTCGCACAAACAGCAGGGTCCATATTCCTGCCGTATTACAATATTGATGGAACATATCAAGAGAGCCCTGCGCAGCTTTGAAGTTCTCCTTCCAGGGGGAAGGGCTGTGTGGAAGGAGGCAAATTCCAAATTGAACATTAGGGATGCAAGCATGTTGGCCATGCATTCGGAATAGAATCCATCCAGCGATAGATTATTTTGTATTTAATGGAGCACATCCCAGGAGTGTCAATATCAGAGGATTACAGCAAAACATGAAATTAGCATTCAGTCCCCATCCCCTG